CCAGAATTCCCCAGCCAGCATGCTGGCTGGGGAATTCTGGAAGTTGAAGTCCCCACATCTTAAAGTTGCTGAGGTTGAGGGACACTGAATTAGGGATGGTGCATAAACATGAATATTTGGCAAAGCTGAGCATTAACAACTATCCATTATGAGTAATTGCATTTGAAGAGTACAAATTATACAGACTTATGCCATAGAAAGTTTATATTGTAGGCATAATTAAAAGCACTGATTGTATTGGTGACACATTTTGTTAGCAAGAAATGAATAAATACATTCTTGCATTAACAGTTCCTTGTATTCCAAAGTCTTACCCCACCCATAGAGTGCGGATTCCGGAATTCTTTCCAAACTATTTACCAACACAAGGCATTTATATTTACATTTCTTATGTAATGAAGTAATACATTGCACCTGGATGTATTTCTGGATGCATTTCTGCTTCCTTGCATGTTTTAACTGTATGTGATTGTGTACATACAGTACATGCACTAGGAAGCCCAGGGCAGGCTCCTTGCACTCTGGGTCATGTGAGTGAAAGAGGAGAGAAAGGGGCACTTAGAATAGAGCAGTCCTCAAGAAAAGTCCTTGAAGATTACAGTGGTATACACATTTTGAAAAATATTAATAATATAACTGGCCCATAAAGCTTTCACCCGTGCTGCTAGTTTTCTGCAAGGCAGGACTTTCCTTAGTTTGAATTCCACTTTCAGTGTTCAAGCTTTGCAGTTCTATAACTGCCTGTTTGAAACTGTATGATTCTAAACCAGGCTGTACTATATTTTTTTTCTTACAATGGAGGATTTCCACAGTCCTTAACCCATGTATCATTTCCTCCAACCCCTCTTGACCTCATCCCAGGTATGGTTCAAAAATCGCCGAGCAAAATTCCGCAAGGGCCAACCTGGGCTGGTGAGGAAATCGAGGTCATCTGCATTCCTGGAGGCCACTGGGGGAGCCAGAAGACAAGATGCCAAAGAATGGTGCCGTGTGAGGATGTCTTGGATCCAGCCAGCATCGATGACCAGTGTGCTGGAAAGGAAACAGTGTGTGGTGTCCATTACAAAGGAGAGCATGACTGCCTCTCCATGCTATTTCACAGGGGACGCCTCAACGTCTCCTGGAAGTTCTTGTCCTCTCAACCCAACATTGCCCCACAAACAGCCCCAGAGAAGGCAGGATTTAGGGTTGTGCTGTGGGTCAGCCTGGCCCTTGCCGGCTTATTGGCTGGCCACATAGATGCAAACCCCGGTCTTCCCAGGTGTCTGTAGAGGTGATTTCATCCCTTCCCATCAGCTATGGGGCTCAGCCCTTCAACACCCTTAGATCTGCCATTAGGTAATAGATTCACACCCACAATGAGAAAATGAGAAAGGCAGATTAAAATAATCAAAGGGAGTGGTTTTGAAATGCCATCTGTGCAAGGAAAACCTACAGCAGTCTCCCCCAACCTGCAGTCATCCAGTTGTGTGGGCCAGAAGATAGGTTGGAATTGCTGTCCTGTCACATCTGGATCCAGAGGCCCATGAGTAGACACCATCCAACCTGGGAGGAGTCCCTTCAGGAATTCCTTCCTGGTGGCAGTGGTGACTATTCGCCCTCTGATCAGCCAACTAACCCACCATCCTATAAAGATTGCTCTGAGAGAAACCTTTCGATATGGGTTCGCCAGATCCTGAGAAACAGATCCCCTGCAAGACTTCAAGCGGTCATTCGACTCACACGTATAAGAACAAGAACTTCATGAGAGTATACAGCAAGATAGTACACTCATTTATTTAGTATATTTACACTTACCCATCTAAGCATCTGGTTTCTTGACTTCATGTGTCACATTCAGGTTAAATCAGGGAGGATTAACTTCGTCATAATGACTCCCTGATTCAGGGATGCTTTTTGTAAGTGATTAAGTCTGAACTCTCCCCCATATAAAGCAGCAGGAATTATTTTGAGCCCCAGTACTTAAAGGAGGGTAACAATATAATGTATCTGTCATCTCTCCCGTTGGGGGAGATGGGCGGCATACAAGTTTGATAAT